GTCATCAAATATATCTAGTAAATGCTAGGGCATTCACGAAGGAACAATATATTTCTAGAAAATAGGTGGCGTGACACTAGTCACGTGACCTTGCTGACGCAACATAACATTAAAAGTTGATTTAATTGTTATAAATACATAATAGATGCAATGTTGTTCTGAGCAGCTACTTTTATACTGGACGTGTGTTATAGGTGTGTTTACAAAAAACCTCAGGCGTAAAGCCACCTGGCTCAGTAGATAATTACTTTAAAAGACACAAAGCTTTATTTAAAACGATGCATTAGACGTATTTGTTTTATTTGAAAAGGCTGCTTTTCTACTGGTAAAATTTTATACACTTAATAATGGTTGTGTCTTAATATAAACACATATTTGCCCATTTCTGTGCATTGAAAAAGCCAACATACAAGGTAATTTAAAATTTAGAATTTAAAATCCACAAATAGGGATCTCAAAAAGTAAGCAAACAAGGCTGGAGATCTACTGCTAACAGTTTGTTCAAGCTGCAAATCCTTATAAGACTCCGCTATAAAATTATTGCAAGTGATATGTACTGCAGTGTGGGATCGCGCAGAAATTCTGTAAAAAACTGAGAAAATAGTTTAAATTTAATTCGACCTCTTTAATTTTGTTGTACTGTAAAACTTTTCTAAGTCCTTCACTCTCCGCCATCAAAAAAGCTGGTGTTTTCCTAGCGTGTGCGTTAGTTGGAAACTACAACTCTTGTATTTCTTAGCGCATTAATTGAAAACTGCGTGTAAAAGGATCCCAATTTTGCTGTTGCATATTGTTACTTAAATCACTATTGTTCATCATTACGTGAGATTGCTGTCTCTACGTGGATTTCCGCGACTATATTTCAACTAGTTTTTAACAGTGGGTAATTACAATAGTAGATTCTCCAACTCAGATGATGGTGGTGGCTCTTTCTACTGCTTCTTATACTTAGCTGAAATCATGAGTGCGTATTCAGTATTTATTACCACTGCATATAGCACTATTTCATATAGCTATTGCTACTTTTAAATAGTTGGTATTATGGTAGCAGTTGTAAATGTTGTTAATAATTGGAGACTTACACCAAGTGTGCTGCTGTTGTCAACTTTGCATGTATTATTTGTGTCACCTTATTCTAGCAAATACAGTAAGTCAGTAGTTTTATCACATTGTCATATAGTAAGCTTTTGACAGGTTTGTTGAGAAATAAATGAATGAAAAGGCCTCATTTATATAAAGTAGCCCAAGCTTAACATAACAATGGACTGAAATTCCACTTTTTCTGGGTTTTCAAACTTGGTTTCACAGTTATAGTTTCATACTGATACTAAGCATAGTTTAGTTATTAAATTAAAATAAAGATATGGTACACATCAAGTTAAGACAGTTTCTGAAATTATTAAAAAATAAATGTGAAGCCCAATATATCATTTGATTTACCACTAATGCTGAGTTATACCTGTTTCAGAGAATTCCACTCCTCATCAGTAACCTAGACAAGGGCAAATCAAAAGAATAAGACTCATATAGTGGTGGAACCTATATTACATGAATGGTGTTTTGAAATATATATGAAGTCTAGTCTTATTCCTTCAATTTGCCCTTGTCCATAGCTACTGATAAGGGAAATTCCAGTATATCTCAATACAAGTTCGTAAATCAAATGATAGATTGTGCTCCACATTCATTCTTTAGTATTTTAAACTTTGACAAATGTTTAGTAGTTGTTAAATTTTTCATTACACTTTCAGAAGAAGTTCACCTGTACTACACTATCTATTTAATTCTGAATTCAGGTTTTTGTGTAGCCAAAGTTTCTTTGAATTCATAAAGAATATTCAGTTTTGGCAGATACATTTAAACTCTCACTAGTTACTGAAAATAACTATTCTTTATGAATCAAAGAGACCTTGGCTACGAAACCTTGAATCTGGAATTATATATACAATCAGCTTCTCCTGAAAGTGTAATAAAAGTATTTTAAACAACTTGTCTGTCTCAGTAATTTACAAGCTCAAATTAGTAGCATCAATGCTGCATATTCTTGACATTCCTATATAAACATAGCATTACTGTGTGACTAAAAGACATTTCAAAACCTCAAACAAAACTTACAAAATCATTTTTGTCAAGTCAGTTATTACTAAGCTTGTTTACAATGTTACTTATCTAGCCTACTTTTATTAAATGTTATTTTATTGTAGGTTTAGGGATGAGCATTTTCAGTATTCTAGAAGACTGATCATGACTGTATTTTTATACATCCAACAATTACACCGCATGAAGGCCTATCAACCAATAAAATATCTTTTAAACCTTGTCTAAGAAAAAAAAAAACAGTTTACAAAATATTAATATGATGTGTTAGGAAACCAGACTTTCATATTTATTAGACAACCACTGATAATATTTAAAAGCAAAATATAGTGATGAAGGAAGAAATGTTACAAGTAGGCTAACTAGAACATTTGTCCTTTATGATAATCATCTGTTAGTCTCAACAACAGTTTTTATTCCACCATATGCACAGAATTTTCATTTAGCATTATAATTTTAATTTAAAGAAAACAAAGTGGTTTACAAAACAAAAATAATAAATAATTCTTTAGTGTAACAAATAACTTAAAAGGTTCTGAAAAAAGATATGAAAATTTATTCTGTAATCTTTGTTCAAGATATCTTAAAATATGTGACTAATTATTATTCAAAACTGATCACCAAGTAAATGTGTTTTTAATGTTACTAAGCTAATAAAAATTATAAAATCAAGTATGGTTTTAATACTGAGATCAAAAAGTATATGTAACTTAAACTTGTTTCAAGTTTTAGTGATACATGTACTTTAGAAATTGTTTTAAGTCTGAACTCTAAAAATGAAAGTAAATATGTATTTTTGTTTAAAGGAAGGTAAGGGAATGTCTGAAGCCCAGGTTCGAGCCATGGCGGCAGCAAGACTGGGTGTACCTCTAACATCACATATGCTACACTCCTCTCTTCCTTTTTACCCCTCCTTGCCAGGTACAGTGCTGTTTTTCATAGTATGGTGAATTTAACATTCATATTGAACACTAAAAGAGTACAAGAATTATCCAGTCAAGTACTAAATTAACCTTAATTATAGTGAATTCTAAATGTTAGTATTTAGTTTTAATATTAAATTTTGATGCCAATTGTTAATATTGAACCTTGTTGCCAAATGCTATCATTAAACTAACACTATTCACTAACACTAATATATATATATATATTATCAATCATAATCACAAAGTGTTAAATGATGCCTCACTGATTTGAATACAATATAACAGAAAACTTTATCTAATCATTAAATTTGCCAGTCAAATTCCTTATTGACTTACTTTAAAAAGAAAAAAGCAGAAATATTAAGACATTACTGTACATTATAAAGTCAAATACAAGAATGTCATGGAAAAGTAATAAGGTAAAAGAAAGCAGTGGGAGAAAACATCAGCATGCTTGTTTACACTGTACATAAATGAAAATTACGTGAGATGAACATGCTGACCACTTGAGAATTTCAGAAGAACTAAACAGGTTGAAAATTTAACAATAATTCTTTATTGAATGAAAGTTCCAAAATAAACTGCACAAAACTCTCTAACTACCCTAACTAATTCAGGAAATGAGAATATAAATTTAATTTAGTTTTTTTTATTATTATTCCAGGCTCTCTTATTGATTTCTTAATCTAACTGTTCCAATTAATTTTTATTCACTTTTGTTTCTGTGCTATAAATTTCCCTTTTCTAGAGAACAGGCAATGGTTTCAGAAAGGATTTCCAAAAGTTTAATGGTTAATTACTGTGGTTAAATATCCAAGAGGGGTGCCTATAGGTTTGCAATGAAGAAAAGAATGAACCTCAACATTATGGTTGTAGAACAATAAATGGGAGAATTATGTGCATATATTTTTCTATGTTTAATTAAAATATTCACTTCACATGTTCATCACATGCTTTTCATTAGTGGTTCATCATCTATAACATGCCAAATCTTGGAAGGAATGGTAATTTTTGTCATTCTTATAATTTAACGAATAAAAATAATAACAACTATTCTAGTTCTGTCTTATGCTAAATGTTATCTCACACAAAAAAAAATTACATTGGCCAACAAGTCATTTTCATCAGATATAATTATAGGTGGGTTAGATAGCTCTTGAGACGCTAATTCCAAATATGTTTTTGGTTTTCGTCAAGCACATCAAGTTTTCATGATGAGACTGATCAAATTTGAAAGGTTATTGCCTCAATTATAATCTAAGTTGCTGTACATTTCCTTTTTCATTAGTGTGTACTGTACAAATTTAACCAAGTGTATGGTGTGTATAACATTTATGGGAATTATACTGAAAAATTAATAAAGTTGTAACGTTAACTAGCCTAATGTGTGATTATTACCTAAATTATGCTGAAATTAACACCACTCATATTTTAACAACGAGATATGCTAGAAGAAAACCAAAAACAGATTTGGTATCAGTTTGTAAATGTGCTTACATCTTTAATGAGAGAAAAAGGTTAAATTTTGTCAATCAGTTTTATTAAACTTAAAGCCTTCAGAAATATTTCAATTTATGTCTGCTATGTTAACTTATTTTAACATCATGTTGCCCCTAGTTTTATAGTGATTATATAAATGTGGTTGATGATCTACACTTACAAAGTCAATTTGATTGTACATTTATCCTCTGCTTTATTCACAAAAAGTAAATAGTCTTTTTAAATTCTTTTATAATGTTAGAAGTAAAGCAATTCTATTAGTTTTTTACTAATTTTACCACAAAATATTTTTATCACTTTTATAAGAAAAACAGCTGTAAATATCAAATTCAGTAGTTTCTAATGTGGTGATTTTGATTTTAGTGATTGATGGTGAGTTCACTCCACTAACAAGTCCTAGTTACATACAACAACACATAAAAACTTTGGAACAAGCCAGAAACTCAGGTCAAGTTCCTCAGATTTGTGGTGCTCCCTCCATCCTTCCTGGAATGTATATGACTGGAAATGTGATCACAGATGCTCAGGTGGCTCAAGCTCGCTTACACAGGTATGTCATTATCCTGGGGTGTTTAATAAACTAAAATGACAAGCATATGTAATTTCATATTGTTTTAAAACCTTCTCTCAGTCAATGTTCATATTATTGGATTTTATTTTACTGTATTCTTGTAGCTTAGTTTTTTTTTAGAAAATCTTTTAGAAGTAGAGCCAAACATGTCCTAGCTAGTGGATAATGCATTGGACTGTGGATAAGAAAATTTAATCAAGATATAATACACTATATTCTGAATACTAGACTTTTAGCTGTGGAGGCATTTTAACTATGACAGTCAATCCTACAAGATGGTTTTAAGAGTAGCCACATAGTAAATAGGTGTTTCTGAGTTATTGCCATCCACCTGATCAGTAATTCCAAATTAAGGATAGCTATCCTGTACCTTAGGAGTAGTCTCTAACCAGGCCATTTAGTCGATTTGTTGCATAAACTACCATTCAGGTTGAAGATACTAAATCCTTTAGAAGTAAAAAGAAACACCTGGTATTTTAGATTTTTTGTAATGACTGGCTTGGTAATGAAGCATGTATGGTCAGAGTTTTCATATTTTTGTATATCAAGGTGTGTTGCTGAATTATTATTTCTGTTGATTAGAGCAGATTTTTTGGATGCTATTATAAAGCAAAACTTTGTATATATTTATATTGTTCATCTACATATTTCTGTGGAAAAGTACACTTTTTTAAAGATTACTGTATTTTACTACAGTTTACATTATGTTTTAAAATATACATTACTTTTTTAGACATTTCTCATGTTATTAGGATAAAAACAGAGTAGATACTGCATTAACTTAAACTAGCACTAAGACATAAAAAAGACTGGGCTTGTACATGTGCTTGAAAATCTGGAAAGTCCTGAAAAATTACTTTAATAAAATTGAGTCCTAGAATATCTTGGAAAATTGTCATTTTATTGTAGAATCACAAAAAGTCATAGTTTTTGTTTTTTTTAATTGGGTAATTTTCTTGTTGTATTCCTTACCTTTAAACCCCTGGTTCCCAAAAGTATATCAGGTACGATCTAACTCAGTTTGGTGCACTGTTTGTGCATTTGTATTGGCTTACTGCTTTGTCAGTCAAGTTTATGTACTTGCATGAGTTTTATGTAGCCTTGTTTATTTTATACTAAGACCTGGAGCTCTATTTTTATAATAACCAGACAGTAGTGGAAAGAATGGGATTGGGTCAGAGAGTAAGCTGTATTAGCTGTTGTCATGGGAATGCTAGCAATGGGCAGCAGAGCTATATGTATTGGTCAAGCGGAGGTCCAATGATGCCAAGTGAACATAACCATCTATGGGTGTTAGGGATAAATATTCTACAGGTGATATAGAGAGTGAAAACACACACACTCAGCTAAAATTCTGACTAATCAGAATTTGTTTGACCTTAAGTTTTCAATCCTGACTTTTTCTATTTAAGATCAAACTCTTAAACCTTTTGAATATCTCGTTTTCACAAATAGCCAGTTGTATATATTTCACTTGTGTGCCTGAACTGCTGCAGAATGGTAAGTCTACAGACATCACTATGCACAGGACTTCTTATTCAGTGATTTTGAAGACCTGGACCTCAAAACACCTAAAACCAGCCTAGCTCTCAGACTGGTAGAACCTATAGATAAAAATGAGTCATTGGGTGATGCATCAGAAAACATAAACACCATTTATGGGCCAGTCCTTAAGTCTTCAGAGGACAAATAGCTACCATTCAATCTGACCAGTTCAGGCTGCCAATTGTGAACCCTGCCACCACAGATTCAACACCATCACTACCTGTTTCTCCAGTCAAAACAAACCCCAAAGTGACTCAACTTTTGGTTTTCACTCCATAAGAGATTCCAGTGACCATGAAGAAAGAGACAACAGAACTACCAATGGAATGAAGGTTCCAGCCAGTAAGATACCCCATCAAAGGATACACCATGAAATGTCACAAGTGCCAAATATGCATACACTTTCAGCATGACCACTATATATATACAGTGTATATATTAAAAATCTAAAAAGATTTTTCTAGAGCAAAGGTCTTCCCATGGGTTGACTGAATGCCAAGAAGGATTCTTCAACCAGCAACAGTTACTTCACTTGTGGCTAGGGTTTTAGTGGTGAATGAAAGTATCTTAATGTCAGCTGCCACAAAACCACCACCACTGAATAGATTTTGTGATCTACTTCAAAAACAGCTGAGGATAGAGCTCCCAATCATATCCCCAATGATAATAATAAATGAGACATTTTGAGATCAGATCACCATCTCCAAACAATTGTTAAGAACAAGAAGCAAAGTGGGTGAGGCATAGACTTTGTCTAACTGAGAAGAGTATTGGCTGCAGAGACACCTAAGTCTCCCATTGCAATTAGAGTAAGAGGTATGGTAGTTATGCACAGATTTGGCCAAACCCTTTAGCACCCTGATTAGGTTAAAGTAAAATAAGATGAGAGCACCCACCTGAGATTGAATACATGTATCTCTTTATTTTCCCTCTTTTTTATTTTGTTTCTTACTTGTAATTTATTTGGTGAATTTGTTTGATTTATTTTCTTCTGTAAAGTTAATCTTTTTGTGGTGTATGTGTAGATATATATATTTTCGACATATTGTAAATATCTAAGTTGGATTCTGTATTATGTTTTTAGGTCGCTGGTTTTATTACTTAATATTTTCATATGTATGCTTTGTTTGTTTGTTTGAAGTTAAGCACATAGCTACACAATGCATTCAAAAGGTTTTAGATATGTTTAAAAGGTAGGTAGTTTATATATACAGTGATTAAGGATTGCATTTTATTTGATGATTAAAATTAACTCTCAGTCTGTAATGATTTTACATGCTATTTGTGAAAAGGTTTATCTTTATAGGTTAAGTTTATAAGTGTTTCAGGGTATTTTGCATATGTAACTTAAATTGCAGTCACTTTTTATGTGAAATGGTTTCAGTTATGATTACTTTAATTGTACTTTAATTTGTGATGTAAACCACATTCTGTTTTCATTCCTTTTATTTTTGTATTATTTTTTATTTGCTTGTGTAAATGTGTGGTATATTTTTTCTGTATTTGTTTATGTTAAAGTATACTTTTGAGTTGTAAAGCATTTTCAGTTTCTATTCACTTAAATTGCAGAATCTAGTTAACAGTATTGCTTTCTGTAAACTAGTTAAAATATTAATTATTTTTGTTTACAGGTTTATATATCTTTCTGTTTATGATTGCAATGTGTTATATTTATAAGTGATGTATGAAATGATAGTTTCTTTGTGAGTTCATGTGATGTAACTATTAGCGTATGTTGTATTAGTATTAAAGAGAGGTTGACCTAGTTCATAACAAAAGGAACTTTAGTGATTTTGACTGAAAAATTTTTCTATGTTAAAGTATTATTTATTTAAATATTGATTCTTTTGTTAAATAGTTTTTTTGTGGAGCTAATTAACAGTATGGATTGATCTGTGTTGAAATGTTTTTTAGAACTGTATGCCAAATGCTTGCATTTTATTCTTATTATTCCTCATTTGTAATATTTCATAATTATAGAATGTTTTTATGTAACTACTGAGTTTCATTATCAAAGGGTTTTGTTGTCTGTGTTGCATGTAAATGTTTTTTACGGGGCAAGAAAAAGTTGTCATTCCTTGACCATCATGCTTTGTAAACTTTAATGGATTTATAGTTAAGATTAATATTGGCTCAAGGACAAACCTGAAGTAAAGGGGGGTAGGAGAAATGAAGTATATAAGTATATTATGTGTTTCCTACCTCCTTGTATTAATATATAAGCTTTCTCAACATTTGTTATTTGTACAGTAATGTGCATTTTCCATATAATACATTGGTCAAGAAAATTGTTAAGTTCCTTTTGCTCCTGATACATATTGTTCTGTGCCATTCACTGAGAGTAGCACCTTTTGTCTTCTGGAAAGAGTTGCAAGGTCATTCATAGTATGTGAAGTTATCCTTTCTATTGTTGTTCATGTGACCAGTTGAGGTAATGACCTCTTTTGTTGTTCATTGGTAATGAAGTCATGCTAGTAGCTTAAGTTTCTCTGGGTATGTTCTGATGTTAACAACTTAAGGGGTTAACATGAGGTTTATTCAGTCAGGAATATGATCTTGGGAGGTGTATTCTGAAACTAGAGATCACTGAGTTAGTGTATCTCTGTAGCTAATACTCCAGTAAACATAACTAACTGTCCATTATGACAACTAAAGTAAACATTTTCACTGTGTATTTTAAATAAAGATTGTTTATCTTAATTGTACACTTGTACTGAGTTTTCTTTCATTCTCACAAATTCAGTTAGTCAGAGAATATAAATTATTTCACAGTAGACATCTTGATGAATCCCCTATAGTTAACCCTATGTGCACAGACGGAGTTCAAAGTGCACATTCCACAATCTCTAACATCTAACAATCTGCTATTATATATTTTATTTCTGATTTATTAACTATTCATTTTACCCTACATTGCTGATTTAGTAATAATTCATGGTAGGGGAGAAGAAATACCAGATATACACTATATGGGGACACTGAAAAATAAATATTGATCACATTTTGGAGGTTCTATAAGTTATTCAAACTGTATGGTAGACAGAAGTAGTTTTATTCTTGCACCTTGACTTGTCAAAGTCTGAGTCTGACTGATTTTGTCAATTCATAGACATATCTTGAGTACAAATACTTTTGTAACACATTCGATTTTTGTGTGCAACAGACTTATACATTTTAGTAAAAACTTGCTACATTTTGTGTAGGTACACTTAGTAAATTCAAAATTGTAGCCTATATTTGTACTCCAATACAGGGTTGGTCCAACAGACTGACTCCATGCATATTTGGTTAAGCAGACCTGTCTTGTCAATCTTAGGGGAAGCCTGTTTTATTTGAAAATCCACACTTATATACCATGGTAGCAATTTTGATGTATGATGATTCTTTATGAGAATTAATTTTTCAATCACAGTTCCTAAGATGCCAGTACAAATCAGTATTTTTAACAAAACCCTTAAAAAACTGATTCTTCCTTGTACTACAACTGTTTTTAATACTCATTCTTGTTTTCTGTTGGAGTCAGATTATATTACATTATCAGATGAATAACCATTTTTCTCATAACAAATAATTTAGCAACTTTACGATGGGTGCATGACTTGGTGCTTTGTAGCAGTGACAAAACAGTAATTGATCTTCAGTGATGTGTGTGTGTTGGTCTTACTTTATACACTTTTTAATGAAGCTAGTAAGTTTGTATTGAATTATTTTAAAAAACTGGCAAAAATATATATTTTGAATAATTTGATAAAACTTTACTATCTGTCATGAGTTTTTTATACTCAGATCTTCTTTACTCTTAACTTATATTTTGTAGTTATGTACAGTATTTCATAGCATGATCATATTTATTGGCAGGAACATACTCAGACCTCTAGGCCGAACACAATCAGCCCCACTTCCTCTGGGACACCCCATCTTGCAGCCTCAAGGAATCATATTATCTCCTCAGCAGAATGACCAGCTTTCAAAAGAAAAGCACCTACATGAACAACAACTACATAACTTGCTGAAACAGGTACATGTGAGCATAATTAAAACTCCATCTAAGATGTTATGATTGAGCAAAAACTGAAATAATTTTGTATATACTTGTGGTTGTAACCTTAGAAAAGCATGTGAGTAAAGTCATGAAGCGTATGCAGATTGGTTATTTTGGTAGAATATTGGACTTGCAGTGTATTGTTTTCTAATGGTAGCTAAATGTATGTATTGTGAGGAAACAATTATATTTCAAATTACTTATATCATGTTTTTACGTAATTTAATGTTCTAAATTAGTCAAACATTCTTATAATTTAGATATTTTGAAAATAAATGAGATTGGTTCCTGTTTTTAATATACTTTATTGCTTAGTTTTAAATATTTTCTGGCCTTATGCAATAATGCGCAACTGGTAACAAACATTAATCTGTTTGCTTTGTGTTTTGTGATGAATCTTATGCAGTTTTTTGGGTATGTTATCACAGAAAGAAATTGCAACTGATTATATGGCTTATTGTTGTCTAATTCCTGGAAAAGATTCATTTTAAAGATCAAAATTTTTGTGGTTAGTTTCCTAATTTTCTTTAACACACGCAGTCTGTAGTAACAGATTTGGAAAGTTTAAATCTTAATAGGATTGGTGACCATGCAGATGAGGTATAATGGAAATAATCATCTTTTACGAGACACCTTTTCATCATAAACATTCAGTTAAAACATATGGCACAAATTTTTTGTGATGCTAGTTTTAATATAAAATGCAAGACAATCACAGAGTTATTTTTGTACTTGCTTTTTTATAGCACATCCGTCAAACAGTGCTAACCAGAGCTAGCAGCAAGAACCAGGTAGAAAATGTTGAGGAAGAGACAGAAGCTGCTGTTGCCCAGGAGATGAAAGATGCTCCTCCAATTTCAAATGCAATTTCCACACCAGAAATTATTGACCTCACTGAACACAGAGAAAAAGAAGTTGAACGAGATAGTGAGCTTGCAAAGCAGCAACGTGATCGTGAAGCATTCCTTCAACAACAGCGGGATATTATGGCAAAGTCATCCCTTCAGATTAGTGAAGGCAAACACTATTTATTTATGTACTGTACATCTTTAATCTAATGTATTAAACACCAACATTTTGTATTAGTTTATAATTCTTAATTTTTTCAAAAGTGGTTGATAATAACCAAGTAGTCTGTCAGATTATTTTGTAATGTTTATAAACAATTGTCAAGATAGTGGATATGTGCAGGCAGTTTTGTGATGATATAATTACTTATTTTTAATGATTTACCCAACCTTCAAACTTTAAAAGATTTTTGCTAATTGTTTGTGTATTAATTTACTGCATACCATTTGCTCTTTTGTATCTGAGCTCAGAGATGGATAAATTTATGGTTTATTTCTTTGTTTTCTACAAGTTTTCTTGTTAAATGATTGAATTTTTTAAAATTCAGCTTACTGATTTTTATTGATAAATCATGTAAATTTTTAGACTTTGTTTGAACTAACTTGCTTTTCTGTAAGCTTTTGACAATATTTATCTAATGCTTCTAATACAATAAACATTATCAATGCAAAGTATTGTTTTTGAAATGTTCATAAGGTTAATAAGTTCTAGAAGTCACTAATTTAGTTGAAGGTGTTTACATACTGTTAAAGGAGATGGGCAGTAACAGTTCACACAGTATTAGTATGATAAATGTTAGATGCTTATATATTTCAGTTCCTCATGTGTGGTAATACAAAAAAATGGAATGAAAACTTGAGTATGTATCTGCCACATCCAAAAGCTCTTTAACAGAGAATTCAGATTGCTTTTTTCTACAAGCAATGGACTTGTGGGTTTACAAGCCATTAAGTTCTGATTGTCTTTACATTATACCACTTGTTGTGTTTTTGTAATGAAGCTTAGTGTGGTATCTACCCTGTGCAAAAGCCTGTGCTAAAAAATGAAGCAAATGCTTGAAGCTCCACAATGTCATGGGCTCTAATATTTTTTAAATAAAGAATTTTAAAGTGTTAACTTGACTTTCCAAATAACATATACCATATGGAACATGTTGGCATCAGTATATTTCCTCAGTTTCTTTGTTATTCTGCATCAATTGATCACAACTGGAGTATATTCTATGCATCATTTTGGATTGCTATAAATGCCTGTTTAGTAGTGATCATATCTAATTTACCTACTAGTAAAGTATAATTCATCTTTTTTTCTTCATCTTACAAATACAGCCTGACTTGTTATGGTTCTTTACATTGTGTGTTTAGGTATGTTCTCTCAATTTCCTTATAATCACTTAGGATCAGCTTTCACTCCACGGCACCATGTTGTGAGACCTCTTTCACGTGCCCTGTCTAGTCCACTGGTTACTTTAAGCCCAATAGGAAATTCTCAAGAAGGTCCAGTGTCAGTGCATCATGCTTTCACTACAGGTTAGTTTACTTTTTGTTGTTTCATTTCATTAGTTAAATGTCAGATGATACAGTTTTCTTAAAAATAGTTTTATATTTTTATTTAAATCTTAATTTTTGCTACAGATATTTTCCTCTAAGTTTTTTTTGAAGAATATGATTTTTGTATCAAAAAAGCTTACCCATCATTTCACATGTTCAATTGAGTTACGCATAAAGCATTTTGTAACAGAAAATCAGGTTCACTGAACTGATACTTAATAGTCCCTTTTTTTATATGCCCTTTCAAAACACATACAATTCAAATTTAATCCGTTTTTCACTTTAACTTCCTCTGGCTGAAATGCAATTTTGTATTGGGATAGTATTAAAATTGTTTTTTGCAATAGATAGAAAAATTATTCCAGGGGCTTTTTTATTTAATTAAATGTAGGTCAAATCTATCATAGTTTTGAAAGCAGCTTTTACCCAAAATAAGTTATTTATATCTTCAAAGTGATTGGAGAATGTTAATTTTTCTCATTACAGGAGATCTTATCATTTATTTCTAAATTTAAAATAACTACATAAACATCCTATTATGATTTAAAACTTCATTTCAGAAATTTCAAGAAAAAAGAAGAAATTATTTAATACTGTAATGTTTCAACCATTATGATATGCACATGGACCATGAAAAGGTGAAGGTACTACTTGGTTCAAGCGTTTACATATATTCTTTCAATGCTTGACTTGAAGTACAAATAACACAAGTGATATCCTTGGAGCCTCACACTATATATCTCAATCAATTGTTGCTTAGTTTGCTATTATACTTATTTAATCCTTTCAAATAGCATTTAAACACCTAATTTGAGTTTTAATTAAAATAAAACTTCTTTGGTAGGACAAGACCTCCTAACATCTTACTATTACATGCACTACTTATTAGAGGGCTGTGATCTAATTACCTTTATGCTTTATCCTTTCACTTCCTAAGGCCGGCACTGCTGAATTTGTTATCATAATATTTATTTTTTGTATTTTTTTATGTTTTAACATTTTCTTTAATGTTAATATAGCAATTACATTCCATATACAAATATTTTCCTTATCTAAGTTTTTTGTAGATTAATTAGGTAATTAAACTTTATATATGTTTAATACATTTAACAACCTTTGTTTGGTTAGGCTTGGTCTATGACAGTCTTATGTTGAAACACCAGTGTATTTGCGGTGACAATTACTACCACCCAGAACATGGTGGCCGGCTTCAGAGTATTTGGGCACGATTGCAGGAGACAGGGTTGGTGGCTCGATGTGAGGCAAGTTTGGTTGCACACAAATACCCTTTTTGTATTTAAAATTCAACTCCTAAACTTAACTTTCAGTTATTCATATTTTAAAAATATTTTTGTATATAAAAATAAAAGGATCTGTCTTTTTTTATCTCACATTTGCTTGTCCTTTAATTTGACTTTGTTCTTTGTTGTCAGAAGAAAGTTTAAGTTGTTAGCTGTTGAAGAAATAGCATAGTATCTCATCAGTTAGGAAAAGAAACTCTGAATTCTTAAAAGAACTAAATGATTACCAATTTTAAAACAATGCATATGACAGGTTCAAGTTTAATAATTTTTGAAAACTCAGAAATTGTTTTCTATATAATTTCTAACATTATAAGTAACTATTTGACAGGTTCAAGTTTAATAATTTTTGAGAACTCGGAAATTGTTTTCTGTATAATTTCTAACATTATAAGTAACTATTTGTAGAATAATGTGAGTCTCTATGTCACCCAGTTACAAACATATTTGGTTACTTTCAATGATTGTCAAGTGAAAACATTAAATAAGTTTTGAAGAATTTAAAATTTGTGGTTGATATAAATAATTGTTTCATAAGTTCTTTAATTTTTTTGTAGCGAGTACGCTCCAGAAAAGCCAGCTTAGAGGAACTGCAGACTTGCCATAGGTATGTGTATGTGATATGAACTAACAAGTAATTGTGTACTATACGTATAAGTTGATAACATTCCATTGAAGATAGATACAGTACTTCATTAAAAATCGTAATTCAGCTGGTCATCTAAGATTTTCAAGCAATACAGTGTTTTATATTTCATTGTAGCCAAAAGTGCAATAAAAAATTATAACAGTTTTTTGTTAATGAAACTTGGATAAAGCTTGCTTTCAGTGGTGGATCTACAGGGGCAAGGGGAGGCATTTGCCCACCCAAATTTTTTCTTGCCCCCCAAAGAAAAATTAATCCTACATACATAGAGCAAAGGCAATGTGTATAACAGGAAGACATGTTCACATATGCACTATCATTTTATGAGATCTTTATTTCTTGTATGCTGGAAGTCAACCATACTTTTTATACTAATGGTACTACTACACTAAATAATTATTTATTTAGTTAAACAGTGCTTGAAAGAACATTATTCATCAAACCACTTTTAAAGGGACTTGTTATTCCCTTGTTATTGCTAAATATGCTAGAATGGTCAAAACCTTCTGATCCTTTCCAAGTACTTTTTGAAACCCAACATTTGCCCAATCTAGTGTAGCATGCTAAAATCTGAAGGATAATGAGTCCCCCCCACCCAACTTGTGGTGCTGGTGCTGTCTCTGCTTGTTTTATTTTTTGTTTTTTTTCATTAAGAGATATCTCTTATTAAAAAAAAAGTAAATAAATAGAATTTATGCATGCTCATATGAAAAGAGTGATTGCTTAGAAAAAATCCATAAACCATGAATTGACATAAAAGTGAACATATTCAAACCCACATTCAATTATTTAATACTTAAGGGCTTAAAAAAGGGGAGTTATTTTTTATAAATTGGGATAGTAGAAATTTAAAGTTAAGGTACAGGAAAATTTCAGATCTTAAGAAGTTAGTTTCATGTACAAACTTGTAGAAATTAATATTTAATTAAAAAACTAAAAAAGTTAAGAATTCTTATTTTTATAAATCCTCAGAAAGTTACTTCTTAACTACAAATTTGAAAATAGTTCATTTTTTATGTATGTTCAGTAATATGTTTATCAGTATTGATAAAATTTAAAGACATTTTTTAGAAACATGAGAAATATTACATATATTCGCTTTTAACTCCCTAAAACTGTTTTTTTTTATTCCATCTTTTAGTGAAGCATATACTATGCTATTCGGTACTAATCCTTTGAACAGGCATAGGTTCGACATGAGTAGACTAGGTGAGTGTAATTAATGAGATAGCACTGTTAAATGTTGTGTATGATGAGGGCTTATATATTACATTTTTTACAGACTTTTATTATTTCAAAAGGATTATAACCCTTTATTTAGTATGTTTTTTGCTTTTTTGTGTATTGCTTGTTATCTTTCAAATCACTTCAATGCCTTCAACAAATCAGACGTCTAACTGGCAGTATGCGGCGCAGGGTTGCAGCAGTCATCCAGGCAAACGGTGGATATACCCGATATTGACTTTTCGATGACTAATTATCAATGTGTGGGTCATGATTGACATTTTGTAATGTGATTTGACAATTCAATAACGTGTTTGAGCTTTCACTGACAATACTTATTAAAGATAATTTTAAGCGTGAAAACTGTCCATATTTTGATGTCATGATATGTAAATTAAAAATTGTTATTTTACGGTGATAATCTTGTTTTCTTGTGCCCAATAATGCATAATTTCATTTGATAAACACGTTTAGATTGAATGGTAATCTATAATCAGTCACAAGAACGTCGAATCTGAATCACTTGAAAAAACACGGGGGTGCTTAACTTTTTTCCAGGTGTATATATTAAAATATATTTGTGTCAAAACAAAAATGGTGTGAATCAATCTTGTTGGCAAATGGCATAAATTAAATAAAATATTGGCATATTTCTAAACTCTAACTCCAGGGTACAGTTCAACTATTAAAAGTTTAATTATTTAATACAGCCTTGGATTATTTCAAATTCCCAATACGTAACAAGTTATTCAAATATTTCCCTTTGAAATTAAAATTTGAATTATAAAATACATTTTTCTTCAAAGATTATTGACATATGTTGATAGTAAAGTTGCTTAATAAAACTTTGAATGTAACTCTATAAAAGGTTGAGGCATTAACATTTTGATGCCCACCTGTGCACATAGGGTTAACTTGTTATTTGTTTTTATGATAATTACTGGTTAATTACAAAACAGCTTTAGACACATTTAAATTTTATGCTTATATGTGATTTCAGCAATGAAATATATTTACCGATATAAGTAATATTTAATGTGTTACTTAAGTACATTATGTTTTACAACTAAGGCAGACACAAAGCAAGAAAGAAAAGGGTTCCTTCAAATACATAATTTTCTAGTAAATAGAGTTTAATTTTTTTAGGGAAACAAAGCTTATTGCATCTTGAGGGGAAGTTTTGATATCTATGGATATCCTCAATGGATGTGTGTTCTTGGTAAATTATTATTGTGTTTATTAAATAAAACACTTCAAATAACACCTGTAGTACTCTAATGAAATTCTGAAGAGGGATCTCTTTGAAACTGAATACAAAAATACTAGTATTCCTAGTATGCCCTACAACTTCTTTCTATTAGCTTTGACAATACCACAACACAAAAAGAGGCAAATATTTAACTTATCTTTTAACTAGGTTTATGTATGGTCAGTCAAAAAACAAAATAAGGGGACTTTTGTATGGGAAAAAAAATTGTATGTGAATACAAAATGAAGTTTTATTTGCAATTTTTATACGAAACTTTATTACCATACATAATCTGAAATCATATATAAAAGAACAGTTTTACCTCAAGCATACTTCTAATATATATACTTTAAAACTCCTTAAAAGTAATGCATACAGGTACTGTATTTGTTTTAACTAGAACATGGCCATAAATATAATTTGACCTTTAAAAATTCAATTTAAAAAGTTCATTCAACATGATCCATTTTTACATAATTTTGTAATGCGCATATACAAAAAAAGAATTGAATACTGGAAAAAGTGTGTTTAAGGAACAGTTAAAACTTACTAAATCAGTACATGCTTTAAATTACAACCATTCAGTTGCAAGTTCTTCAAAATCTGAACATGTCTGCCCAACTCAGTTGTTATTTAAAGACACAATAACTTAGGAAAATAAAATAGAGAAAAAAAAAGACAAAGACAAAAATTACCATATATATAATAGAATAACAAAATACAGAGATAAAGTAAGCTGCAAATTTATACACATATTTTCAAATACACACAAACTATATATATATGCAGCCTAAACCATATATACCATATTACAAAGGATAAGTAGTGTCTATTACATTGACTGTATTGTAATGCAAAAGGAAAAATGTTAACAAAGAGGGATAAAGATGTAATTTATGTCTTCTGCAACTTTATATATAAAGGTTTCAGTGTTAGGAGAGGCAAACAAATATATGAAGCACAACAGCAAGAAAAAATATCAAATGACTGACATTTTCTTACATGCAATAGCATTCACAAGTGTTAAAAATTAAAATACTCTATAATGATTGCAGGAAAAAATAGTATCATTTAAAAATATATATTCATGATCCATTTTTTGATTTAACAGATGTATGCTTAGTTTCTTTTTTGGAGTTCAGTAATATGACTGATAATGCAACTCTTCCATGGCATTAACAGGTATGTTTAGTTGAGTAGAACATGTAACAATGCTATTGCATGTTATATTCTGTTATATAATGATATACAGGTAACCAACTTCAGATCATTCTGGCGTCTTAAAGAGTCCTCACATATTGGAAGATCACATTCAATAACTTCTAGCTGCTAAACTAGTAGCCCAGTGTACTGTACTCTATTTACAGCTTTCCTCTAAAAACACATGGATAGTTAAAGTTTAACACCCTCACAAATATTTCTCTGTTATAAAAAGAATTTTGTTTTCTGGTCCTGAGAAACCTTTAAAAATGTCCATATGATAAAAACCAAGAAAGAAAAAAAACCACAGAAGACACACTGAATGTTTTGTTTGATCAGGCATCATTTTGAAAAAGCAGAGAATGTTCCGATTTGTTATTTCCAAAAGATAACTTGCCTTAAATATCATTTTTACAGATTGATTATTCTTTCTGGTAAACATAGTGTGTACCTCTTACTGTGTAAAAAGCATCTATCAGGTTCTATGTAAGCCTCTTTATCAAGCAAAATACATCACTCTGTTTGTGTCTGCATGGATAGTGACAGCTCGAGCCATGGCTACCGGTGTGCGATCATCTCCATTAGCTGACTGGTGGCTACCATCTCCACTAAACATAAAAACAGACAATAACAACTTTCAGGATTGTAATGGAAAATATTATATCCTAAAAATTAAACTATTCCTTTTATTTTTTGTACTTTCAGATTTCAGTCTTGAAAAAAAACAAATAAGATAAAATTAATAATGAATCAACAGTAAACTTCAAAATAAAGTGCATATAAAAAGGGGAGTCAAAGCCTTTATTATTCCTAGCATGGTACTAATTTTAGTGTCTGGAACATTCAGACTCTTTGTGATACTGGAAAAGGAGCTGAATATGTGAAAGAAATGAACAGATATGATTTGGATATTCTGGGAGTTTCTGAATGTAGATATACTGAATACGGAAGATAAATCAGCTTGTTTTCAGGTCAAAATGATATACTTTCACATGGAATGGCTTTGTTCTGCTTCAGGGGAGCAACATCAAGTTTGTTAACATGGAAACCTATATCAGAGAGACTACTTACTGTACGTTTTAAAAAATCAAAATATAGAAACTCAGTCTTTTAGTTTGTTATACACCAACTAAAGACTCAAGATCAAGTAGTAAAAGACCATTTCTATCTTTAATTGCAAAATGTACTTAATGCAATTCCAGAATAAGATATTAAATTATTAATGGGAGACATGAATGCTAAGGTCGGTGTTGATCCTGGGGTTGCTCTTGATAAGTTTGGAAATGGGCACAGAATGATAGTTGCCTCGGATTCATCAAATGCTATGAAAGAAATAGTTTGGTTATTGGTGGTATATTGTTTTCATAATGAAAAATTCATAAAGAAATATGGAAAAGCCCTAATGGTTTAATTGTAGCCCAAGTAGCCATATCTTACAGGCAATGTTCTTTCCTGCATGATGTCAGGTCATTTTAGAGGTGTAGACATAGGAAATACTTATTACTATTTGGTTGTTGCAAAGATAAAACAAAACTATACAAAAAAAAAAATATATCTATATCTTTTAATTCTGTTAAGCTAAGTATTTAGAAATAAAAGCTGAATTTCAGTTATATTTAAAAAAAACAGGTTTCAAGTACTAGATATCATAAGAAGCAGAGGAAGCAGCTAACAGAGGAGATAAGAGAATGTTCTTTAAGTTAGTCTAACAACCAGGAGATAATAAAGTAAATATCTGTGATGTAATTAAGAATGAGCATGGAAATAAAATTATAAAGGACAAATGCAGAAATGTTGAAAGCATTGGGTGAAGAGATTGGATTAGCAAGACTTCATGATCTAATTAAACTTCTTTGGGAATCGGAGAGCTGTCCCACTGACTGGAAAAAGAAATCATTGTTAAATTACCTAAGAAAGGAAATTTGCTGTCATGCAGTAAATGGAGGGAAATTATATTATTTTCTGTCCCACAAAAAGTTTTGAGTATGATTTTGATGAAAAGAATGAAAGATACTACAGATGCTTTCTTGAGAGAGCAACAGATAGATTTCAGAGCTGGTAGAGAATGTGTTGATCAGATCTTTATTCTGAGAAACACTATTGAGCAATGTGAGGAATAGCAAAAACCCCTAGTGTTGAATATTATTGATTTTAAAAAGGTGTTTGATTCTGCACAGTTAATCAATATGGAGTACACTTTGATGTTATGGATTCCCCAAAAAGATAATTAATGTGAAAAATGCTATATGAAGGATTTGAAAGTTGTGTGAGGGTCAATCAAGGGAATACAGAATGGTTTGAAGTTAAAACTAAAATTAGGCAGGGTGATATTATATCACCTTTCTTATTCAATACTGTTATGGACTGGGTTATGAGGAAAGTTGATCAAACAAATGGTGGTATTGAATAGTTAAATAACACTCTTTGAAAGATTTAAAATATGCTGATGATGTACGTTTATTGAGTCATGACACACAAACAATGGCTAAAATGACCAAAACTCTGGCACATGATGCTCAGAAGGTTGATTTAAACA